TTTTCAAGTCACCTATAAATTTTCAAACAAGAAACAAAATTGCTAGAATATGACTGTTTACTCAAAATTAGAGTAGGGTCCTAAAAAATGGCTTAAGATGTTGTCTATAGATAGCTCATTATGCAAAAATAAACACTCCTTCAGAGTCTGCTGAGCTCTTCTTAGGTCAACTTTTACAGTAAGAAAATTGAGAAATCTTTTTTGATAAAAGACTTACTAGTCTTTCATCTACGTCCAATATACAAAGTGGACTGTGTTTACCAATTTTATCAGAACCATTCAGAATTATACTGGTTTTATCAACAGTAAAAATTAATCAAATCTGGTTTTCCACTCATACTTTCAACTTTCTAAAGTAGTACTTTGTAGTGACAGCCACTTTTCCAAGTTATCATGACAAGATATATGAAAGGTCTCAAATTTGAGCAAATCACCCCAACAGAGTATACATTTCCTAGTCCAGACAGGCTGGCTTAACAGATAGAAACAAAGTCACAACAGCCTAAAAAAATTTAAGTCAGTAAAAAGTAAATACTGAATTGAGAGACAAGAAAAATCAGAGAATAACTATGTCTTAGATAAACCCAGTTTTGCCTAAAATCATTCATGCAAACATAATATTAATCCTGTATTTACTGTAAGGGAAGATTATACTGTTGTGATTAAAAATATGACTCTGGAGCATGACTACCTGAGATCAAATTATATATGGCTTTGTTATTTTATCTGCTGTTGTGTGACCTTAAACCTGTTACTATAAAGGTCTCTCTGCCTCTGTTTTCCCATTTATACAATGAGGAAAATAGTAATACCTCTTTCAAGAGGCTATTGTGAGGATTAAAAAGGTTAATATATGTGAAGTGCTTAGAATACTGCCTGGCATGTCTTACATGACATGAGAGTTATTTATTGTTTCTATTTATAGAAACAGATGGGGTGACTGGTTAACTACTGGGTTTTCCTAAAGGTGCAGTCTGTAAATTTACCCAATTAACTGTCTATATAGTTCAGCTCTGAGTTCTTACTAGCTTATTCAGTCAACAAATATTTATTCAACACCTGCTTTATGCCAGACATTATACTTAGGCTTCTAATGTCAATGCCTCAACTCTTATTGGTGAATATTAGCTTGAACAGCCTCTTATTATTATTAAAAGCTTGCTGGGATGCATGCCATACTTGACTATAATTAAATAGTATTTCTCCTTGATATTGCTCTAAGTCACTTCCCTCTCCATTTTTCCATTCATTAAAAAAAAATTAAAACTTATGAAGGAAAATTTCAAGTACATACAAAATTTGAGACTAGTATAATGAATCTCATATACCTATCATCCAGCTCTAATCATTAACATATGAGGAATCTTATTTTATTTATATATCCACTTTGATTATCTTAGAACAAATCCCAGTATCTAAAAGATACTTTTTTAAAAATCACATTATTACACCTAAAAATTAATAATTACTGATTCTCTCCTATCAGATAAGTACTCAAGGTTCCCCAAATGTCACAACTTTTAATCCATCATATTTATTAAATTAGGCAATATACCAATACAATAAATAAACCTTAATAAAAAGTTTCAAGTAGAGTAACAGGAAATGAAAGACAGATGGTTACAGGCCAAGAAATTAGCAGAAATAAGGAAACATATTGTATATGCTTTGAGAAGCTCAATATGAGGAAGAGCAGAGAAAAATTGGGAGGTACTTGCAGGATCAGGATCAGAGGGGAGTTGATTAGGTTTGTAGACTGAAAAGGTATGGAGAAGCTGATGTCAGGAAAAAACAGAAACTAACCAAATAAAGTCCCAGAGATGAGATAAAAGTGCAAGTGAAGAAGCTGGCCTTGTATATGGAAGGTGTAACATCCAAGCTCTGACGGTGAAGGGAAGGCGTTAGTTAAGCATGAGTATGGGAATTGGAAACTGTGTGTGTGTGGCAGGCAGAGATGGAAGATGGAAGGCGGTAAAGAGGTAATGATATTAATACTTAAAATGTTCTCCGTTTTCTTAAGAATTAGGAGACAAAACCACTGATTAAAAGCAGGGTATTGGGAAGGATTATGCAGGGCATTTGGATAGAATGTTGAAGATCTGGATGGAATTTAAGGAGACTGAAAGACACAAATGACCAGACAAGAGAAAGAATTAATCAGTACTCAAATTTTACACAGCTTTCAAAACCAATTTCAAATATCACCCCTTCCAGGAACCTTTCCTTAATTTCCTTAACCAAAGGTAAATTTCCCTCCGTGGAACCTTTGTTCTTATTTCTTGTAATGATTTACTTCCACTGTAATAATTCATGCATTTCTCTTTTTTCCATTAGCTAGACTGTAAGCACTTTGTGGGTGCATACTTATCTTTCACAGGGCATAAGATAAAACCGTACAACATATAATTTAGTATCTTATTACCTTTTTGAACAGCAGCACAATTTAAATACTAAAAGAACAGAATAACTACTTAAAGAATTGAGGGGACCAGGAAAGGCTGAGAGAATTTATGTAAAGCCTCACCAAGAACACAAGTATCAGGCTGGGCCATGAAAAGATGAGAGGCAATGAGATTTTAACTTGAACAGAGAAGTATAAATAGTGAAGTATAAATATGATGACAGCTATTTACATAACACTAATGCTCCTCCGATTAGGAGGTTTTGTAGATGAGAAAAAAAAATTACTACACTATGTGGGTGGGGAAAGAAGTGACAGTTTTGATTTAAGTTCAGTTTGGGAAAATTCAACCAAATCACATATAAAATCTGATAAAAGTGCATTATATTTTAGTCAACCAAGTAGGGAATAGAGAAAAAAACATACACTGGGTAACAGAAGAACTCAGATAGATTCACAGCTGGTTGGTCACTGACAAATACAGATCTTTAGTGGCAAGGTTCAACAGTTTCATTAAAGCATAGATGAAATCATAGCAAAGACTTACTAAATGCTGAAAATAAAATTGAAAGGGACAGTTTTAACAGTGCATGAAATATATTTCAAATATTCACCACACATTTATAAAAACTTGGGCTTTTTCCATTCTGGATGTACAGAAGGGAACATCCATCTCACCTTCTGCCCTGGTACATTTTTCTTTACAACCAAGTAAATGACTCTTGGTCCCAGATTTAAAAGGAGAGTAGAAGAACCTGGAAAGTACTCCCTCAAGACCTCTTGTTCCTGACTTCCTAGTACCTTATACCTACCAACTGTACTCCCAACAGCTAATCCCAACTCTATTTGTGACCTGAGGCCTAGCTAATTACAGACTTCCACACCTCCTTCCTCCCACTAGCGAATGGATGAATAATTATGTCACATGCTCAAACTGAACAGTAAGTGGCAAGGCACAATTTTGAGTGAAATCCTTTCAATTCTAAAAAAACTATAAAACTAACAAATTAATTTTGCCATAGACAAGAATTACAGATCTAGATAGCCCAGAACAACAGTCTGCAAGTACTCTCTCTATCTTGACCTATTTCACATAGGTTAGATAGTGGCAGGAGTGACAGTTCTCAAATCCAGAAGACTGCTAAAGTCTATAACAGGGTTCACAACTTTTTCTGGAAAAGGCCATACAGTAAATATTTTAGGTTTTGTGGACCATATGGTCTCTGTTGCAACTACCCAATTCTGCCACTGTAGCATGAAACAGCCATAGACAATATGTAAATAAATGGGCTTGGCTATTCCAATAAAACTATTAATACCAACCCCTCAAGAGTCATAACTAGGTTTGGTTTTAGTCAATTCTAACAATATGCTGGTTGAAACATTTTATCTTCATGTTCAAAAGAGAAACATATCTACCTATAATCATAATTACATAAAAAATTCATAAAAAGAACACTGGGAGGAAACAATGAAAGAAAATTTAAATAGCAGTTGGGATGATAGAACCATAGGTAAGAGTATCACTGTTTTCTAAAAGCTTAAAAAACTACGTAAGTTAAAAAATGGAAGGTAAATGAAATGATAAACAAGTAATTTCTGCTTAACGGTAACTGCTATGAACAAAATTAACAGGGTACAACCCATGACAGAGAATCTGAGAACACAGAGAGAGAGGACATCTTCAAAGAGGTAACATTTACACTGAGAGTTGAAAAGACAGCAGTCAAGAGCTGATAGAACATTCCATCCAGAGCTCATTTGTAAGTTAGTGAATGAAAGAAACTGACAAGTATTTTAAAGAAAGGAGACTAATGAAACATAATGAGCAATTAGGGAAGTGGTTTTAACTGGACAAAAATAACACCTCATTGCAACCTAGGAAGTCTCCAAACAAGGCAGGACCAGCTTCATGAAACAGGGATGGAGAGGGCAAGGAAGGTTCAGAATGGTTTGGGAGCCTGGGAACCTCATAAGGTATCTACATTTACCAAAGGTCTCCATTCAGATTCTCAGAATCTCCCTCTTCCTCAATTACTGCCCTTCCTTCCACACAAGAGACTTTACCATTTTTATTTAAGCTCCTTGGCCTTATGACTGAGCTTTGAACCAACAATCTCTAATGTTGTCATTTTCTTTATGTCTCCAATACAGTCAGAAAGAACCACACTTCTTATACTCTCCACCTCCCTAGAAAGATCTTCTGCAATGGCTACTTGGTCTAGTTTTGCCTTCAATAAGCACTTTATTTTATGTAACCACAATACAAATAAGTTAACTATATACTTGAAACTTTGTTAATCTGGAAAACTTCCGTTCGGTTAAGCCACTGAGATCTGAGGGTTGATTTGTTAACTACAGCATAGTGCAGTAAAAGTATAAATAACTATACTAATATTAAATAAATACAAAATATTTCCCTTCTCTGATAACTTAAAAAAACTAAGTCGAATTCATTTTCCATTTTAAACAGCTAAGGGCAACTTTGTTATCCCAATTTATAGAGGTGTATGATATATATACATACATATATAGAGTAAATATATAGAAATTCTGTGTAAATAAAAGAAATTCTTGATAACAAAAGTATCCGACTTACAGTGTGAGCACATTTCCAAAGGATAACTTGCCTCATTTCCCTGGAGAGAGAGAAAAAAAATTAGTCACAAAATTGGCACCAACTTACTTAGAAAGTTAAAGTATTTTGAGTCACAAAAAATAGGGAAATAAGCCAAAAGCTAATATGTCTACATCTACTAAATAATGTATTTTGATAAGAAAAATATACAGTATGATAGAATGAGCTCTTAAATCAAACAGGCCTAAACTGTGCCTCTGCCACTTAAGACATCAAATATTTTATTAAAATTTATTTTAAGTATTTCCAATACCCTGAATATGTTGTATACCAAATTTTAATACACCAGGGACTGTCAATGCTCTAACTTGTCCTGCTGGGTAAACATATTTTGAGGTAGAGACCAGAATGAATCTTCTCTTGCCATCTGTAGTTTAACGGAAGAGTTTCCTGAGACTACAAAATGTTAAAAACTTTTTTTTTACCTGTACTGAAATAGAATTTTCTATATATCATACAATGAAAATAAAAGTATTAATAGGAAGGTGGGTCAAATGTATGACAAACAATTCAAACTTTTCATGAGAAACCTTATCTCATGGACAGACTAAATAAATATACTTTACCTCAACTCCTAATTTATAAAAATATAAAATCAACACTAGGATTCCCTATGGAATTTATTTAGAGAAAAAATTGCTTTAAAAACCTACAGACCTGGCCCAATGCCTACAGTTAGTAATTCTTGATGACTGAGCCCAGGGAAGTCAAATAACTGGTGAAGAACACACCACTTGATTAGTAGTGGAACCAGAAGTAGTTCTAAATCTAAGACACTAAAAAATTCCAAGTAACAGATTCACATGAGCTAAAAATCATGAAGATCTTTTTTTTTTTTTTTGAGAGGGCATCTCTCATTTATTGATCAAATGGTTGTTAACAACAATAAAATTCTTCTATATAGGGGGGTCAATGCTCAATGCACAATCATTAATCCATCTCAAGCCTAATTCTCATCAGTCTCCAATCTTCTGAAGCATAACGAACAAGTTCTTACATGGTGAACGAATTCTTACATAGTGAATAAGTTCTTACATGGTGAACAGTACAAGGACATTCATCACAGAAACTTTCAGTTTTGATCACGCATTATGAATTATAAACAATCAGGTCAGATATGAATATTCGTTTGATTTTTATACTTGATTTATATGTGGATCCCACATTTCTCCTTTATTATTATTATTAT